TTGTTGTGTATGCAAACTGTTGTTGATGTTGTGTATGCAAACTGCTGTTGATGTTGTGTATGCAAACTGTTGTTGTTGTGTATGCAAACTGTTGTAGTTGTGTATGCAAACTGTTGTTGTGTATGCAAACTGTTGTTGATGTTGTGTATGCAAACTGCTGTTGATGTTGTGTATGCAAACTGTTGTTGTGTATGCCAACTGTTGTTGTGTATGCCAACTGTTGTTGTGTATGCAAACTGTTGTTGTTGTGTATGCAAACTGTTGTTGTTGTGTATGCAAACTGTTGTTGATGTTGTGTATGCAAACTGTTGTTGATGTTGTGCATGCAAACTGTTGTTGATGTTGTGTATGCAAACTGTTGTTGATGTTGTGCATGCAAACTGTTGTTGATGTTGTGTATGCAAACTGTTGTTGATGTTGTGTATGCAAACTGTTGTTGTTGTGTATGTAAACTGTTGTTGTTGTGTTTGCAAACTGCTGTTGATGTTGTGTATGCAAACTGTTGTTGATGTTGTGTATGCAAACTGTTGTTGATGTTGTGTATGCAAACTGTTGTTGTTGTGTATGCAAACTGTTGTTGATGTTGTGTATGCAAACTGTTGTTGATGTTGTGCATGCAAACTGTTGTTGATGTTGTGCATGCAAACTGTTGTTGATGTTGTGTATGCAAACTGTTGTTGATGTTGTGTATGCAAAATGTTTGTGTGATCTACTTTAATTTGATTACTTTCCATGCAGGCACTAGGCTATATGAAAAGTTGAAAATGAGAAGGGAAGAACAAAGATACAAATGTAATATGTTGACAGATGTATTGGGTTATGTTGAAGATCAGAATGCTTGTCAGCAATGGTTACAAAAACAGGCACTGCTGTAAGTTATCTACAATATACTGGGTGTGCATAATCCTTTCATCACATTCTTATTCTTTGTGTGTATACTTTATCCTTCACTTACCCAGTGTGGGTGTGTATACCATATTTATAACTTACCAAATTTGGGTGTACATACTCTACCTCATTTACCCAGTCTTGGTGTGCATACCCTCTCTCTCACTTACCCAATCTGGGTGTGTATACCCTCTCCCTCACTACCCTATCTGGATGTGTATACTCTCTCCCTCACTTACCCAGTCAGGGTGTGTATATCCTGTCCCTCACTTACCCAGTCTGGATGTGTATACCCTGTCCCTCACTTACCCTATCTGGGTGTGTATACCATCTCCCTCACTTACCCTATCTGGGTGTGTATACTCTCTCCCTCACTTACCCAGTCTGGGTGTGTATACTCTCTCCCTCACTTACCCAGTCTGGGTGTGTATACCCTCTCCCTCACTTACCCTATCTGGGTGTGTATACCCTTTCCCTCACTTACCCAGTCTGGATGTGTATACCCTTTCCCTCACTTACCCTATCTGGATGTGTATACTCTCTCCCTCACTTGCCCAGTCTGGGTGTGTATACCCTGTCCCTGACTCACCCAGTCTGGGTGTGTATACCCTCTGCCTCACTTACCTAGTCTGGGTGTGTATACCCTGTCCTTCACTTACCCAGTCTGGGTGTGTATACCATGTCCCTCACTTACCCAGTCTGGGTGTGTATACCCTGTCCCTCACTTACCCAGTCTGGGTGTGTATACTCTCTCCCTCACTTACCCAGTCTGGGTGTGTATACCCTCTGCCTCACTTACCCAATCTTCCCAATCTTGGTGTACATACCCTATTTTTAACTTACCCAATCTGGGTATGCATACCATTTATATAACTTATAGTACTTGATATTTACAGGGATAGTGGTCAGATGTTCACTGTGTTTCCTTCTATAAGTGAGTAGTATTATCTCTGAACCATTTATCATGGACATCGTTAAATATTTCTGTAGTTATGACCTAATTAAACTTGTCTGCTGGATCAATGGGGTGGCCAAAGCTTCTGGCAAAAATTCCCTCAGTGCATGTTGGGTGATACCTTAGGTGCACTAGGCCTGGTTCACACTGTGAAAGCTTAATGCCTATTATTATTATTTTTTGATCCACCTAGACAGCAGTTCATAGAAGGTAATGTTATTTTTATTTAGGTAGAAAAAGTGCACCTCCACTTGATGTCAAGTCTTTCCCAGGTTATGACAAACTGACTGAAGCTGAGAAAGAGGTAACTACATTTGTATTACTGGGACTGCTGCTGCATGTACCTTTTGAACACCAGTGCAGCACGTTAGTGAGCAAATTTGACAGTCAGTTATGTTGCTTTCAGACAATTGTCCAGTACTTTGACTGTGAGGACGATGAGGTTGTGTACGCTTGTTTGAAAGCAATGCTTACTGACTAGCAAATATGCATGCTAAAACACTGCACTGGTGTTTGAATGCTATGTGTGATGATAATGTTGCATCTCAAATTGATTTTTTTTAAGTTCGAGTTGGATTTCCACTTTGTGTGATTTGTAAGAAAGCCTCTTACTGACCTGTGTAAGCATCAAAAAGGCCTTTAGAAATCTTATCCAACAGGATCCTGCAATTGGAAAACTTACATGCCAATTGCCTTGATTATTTTGATTTGGTTATAAGACACCAACACCTGCAGTACCATGCCAACTTGTTAATCGTGATACTGTGGAATACTTTATTTTCGCTGGAATTAATTTTCGCTGAAAAGGCTTTTTGGGTGTTTTGTATGGAATTTATTTTCACTGATTTTTGATCAGCTTAATGTGAAATATAGGAAAACAAGTATATTCGCTGGATTTTATTTTCACGGAATTATCCCTCCAGCGAAAATAAATTCCAAGCGAAAATAAAGTAGTCTACAGTATTCAATGAGAGATGTTCTGCATATATTGATATAGTACGAAGTAGAAATGCAATATTTTATATTAATATTGTCTTAAGGTCGATAATAATGTGTTACATCATTGTCTTTCCCATACATCATACACAAAGTGAACCAATGACCACATTGACAAACTTTCAACTATTTGAGTTTAAAGTGCTAATTTGTGAGAAATTTAAGCATGTGATACAGTATCAAAGCAACGCTGAATAACAGCAAGGTATATGTCACAGTTATGCTATGTTCTCCTTTTTAGATGTGTGCACATGTACGAATCATTCCAGAAGCATACTTTGAATACAAGAAGATACTTGTCAGTGAATGCAATAAACAGGGATTTCTACGACTCAAACAAGCCAGGAATTTGATTAAGATCGATGTGAATAAAACCAGGAAGTTGTTTGATTTCATGGTACAGCAGGGGATGCTCAACATTAAATGAATGACGTCATGACAACCAAAGCCGTGAACCTATCTATAAATCTGTACACTTTTAATTACTTGTACACAGCCTGTGCATATAACACCTTAATGAATTTAAATATCAACATGGACATACACATTTTATTTTTTTTATTTTTACAGTACAATATAATTTCAGTAAACTATTAATGAGAATGCAAGGTCATATATATGCATGGAAATATTTAAGTAGTCATTTTTTTTTAAGCATGTACATAAAAGTTACCTTGAGGTTGATTGCAATGTAACTAAACAAAACAATAATAAACTGTAATTGCTCATATGGAAGACATTCTGCATCTCAAAAGAAAAAAAAATCAAAGGACGCTTCTCATAAACATGTGCCCTGAAGTGGGTTTACATGCATTGAATAATAATTTCTGCTTAACAATGGTTTGATTCATCTCTCAATATAGAATATAATTCTGAAAACTGTAATTTCAGGAATGCCAATAAAATTACCTTGCTTGTAATGATGGCTGGCTCTTTTCACATGGATGTGCATTTAAATATGAATTAGCTCATTAATTCTGTGAGTGTCCCAATATTATATAATGATTGTAGTGTGTATGTCATAACATGATAATGAGTTTGTATCAAAGTCACTGGCAGTAATACAGAGTTCACCATTTTCATCCCTACAACTTCTGTGCCATGTGGTTCATACTGGAATGGAAGCACTTTGGAGGCAACATACTGTTTTGAGGTTTAGCCAGAGTAGAAGCTTGTCTGAGGATGATGGAGTTTAACTAGTGCACCACCATGTCACTATTGCTGGTTTATACAGTTGCCGAAGCACGAGTCACTTCAAGCTGCATCTCCCACTGAGTTGTTTTCCCTTGGCCTCAAGCACAAGATGTAGGTATTGTCATTCCTTATGGACCAATCACTTGAGCAATAGCCTTTTATTTTTTTGAGAATTACAAACTTGTCTGTCGGATAAATTTTCCTCTTGTGTATTAGACCATCCACGAAAACAGTCGATGCATAGACACTATTAATAGTCTTGCATTCCTAACCCATTTTGTAATTTTCTCGCCAAAAAGACTAAATCTATTGCCAACAAAGCACCGCCCACATGGAGAGTGACATGCATACCAGTTTTAAATAGCTTGGCAGGAACTTTATTTAGCAGTTGTCACCATGACAACCAATGTATGTTGTCTATATTAAACTAGCAGGACTTCGATGCTTGGCGTGTTGATCTGTTATAACCTCATAGTTCAGCAAAACTGAATATCATTATGGATGTGAAGTAACAGTAGTAGAACAAAGTTTTGTAATGCAGGACAAATAAGAACGCAACACAGTTTAATGTACTTGATAATTAATCAAGTAAAATGTATTTTTTCTAAGACAATTGATACAAAAGATACGGTATTTACAAAAAGAGAATTTAGGTGGTTTTTTTAGTTTCACCACAGTCTTATGTGTACTTAAAACTCTGAATATTATAACTTTTTACTCCAAGGAATTGCTCCTACTTATCAAATGATGGTATTGTAGATATTACTGTCCTTACTCACAAATTTCATATCCTCTTGACAAACTTATCTACAATGTAACTGACTTTATAAGTCTATTAAGAGGTCCGCTTAAATTCATATTATAAAAATTATTTTAATTTATTTTTACAATCTTGATATTTCACGGTGTATAAATTGGTCAGTAGAGAGCAAAGCACAGATTTGCAAAGTAGGAATGCACCAACTAAGTGTACAATGTAGTTCAAACACAGTTTGATTTCCGGTAGTATGACAAAGCAAGTCAATATGCATGAAACCATGTTCATAAAGACATTATTTATGATAATTCATAAATTTCTGATGAGTTGGCACATCAATTTGTACTGTGGTTAAGATTTATTCTCAGTGACCTAAAATACGACATGTTGATTTCATACATTGCTGTAGAAAACCTGATGAGTAAAGTGTACACCAATTGCATAGTGCAGTACTCTCGACACAACAAACCCATTCCCTTCTTTTTTATAAATATTTATGAATTAATAAGTGCAGCACATAATATCATTTGGTAACGAACCAATGTTATTCAATCAACAAATAGAAAATGCTCATTTTAATGGATTTATTGTATGGATGCCTGCTCAGTGCTGAAGCAACTATTTACAAAATTTTTAAATTGAAAACTTATTTCAGTATTCATTTAATGGAGTTTAAGCAAGGCATTCACACACCACCAATGAAGAAATACAAAAGACAAAATTCATATAAAAAGTTGAATGATATATACAAGTGGAATGTACAGGAATTGACGGCAGCATAAGAGAAGAGCTATGTAATATGAACTCTCGCACAACCACTACGACACTATTAATTATATTTAAATTTCTATTCTTCCTCAATGTTATTACTATTACTAGCTTCTTTCTAGATCAGAAATTAAGTTCCTACATAAACACATTTAGTAACGCTTAGAACCGCACACGTTATTGTTCATTTCATGATCAACATCAGTATGAGATTCATCAATAGACAATTTGTAACATTGCAAAGTAAATAAGGAAACGTATATGAACACATTTTTAAAATGTGTTGTTGGGATGGATCTGTAATAGGAAGTTCTAATAGTTTGCATCTGTTGTAGATTTCAATGGAAATCTGCATACAAGGCATAATTTGATATGTCGAAAACAAAATGTCTAAAAACAAAACGGGAACTGTGCAACAAAATGATGTCTATTAAACCTTTTACCAGCTCTTTTCATCACAAAATAGTCCTGTTTATAGTCTACACTTTCCTTTAGAAGATTGGGACAAAAAATAGCCAAAAAATGACTCAAATTTTGTTAACTGTCTCCAAATTTGAGTGAAATAAGTTTGAAACAAAATTGATCTATGAAAACAAGTTGGCATTGATAAAATAAATTTATGACTCGCTACTCAAGATGAACTTTAAATGCATGTAGGTACTTGCTATACAGATCTGTAGAGGTCCAAATGGTGTTGTGAATGCAATATTTATCAGATTTATAATTTCACAGTTAAATCCTGTTCTGTAAATACTGACAAATATATCTGTTTCAGAAAGTTTCAATCAAGCGGTTCAAAAAATATACTGAAAATGTATGCGTCATCCATAAATCTTTGTTGCTCAAACTATATCCATGGCAATTACATATCCATGGCAATTACATATCCATGGCAATTACATATCCATGGCAATTACATATCCATGGCAATTACATATCCATGGCAATTACATATCCATGGCAATTTCCTGTTTTTTCCCCACAGTATTTTATGGAGTCTATGGATTTACACTTGTCGGTCAGTAATTTTAAAGATTTGCCAATCACACAGCATCTGCAAATATAGGCATCACTGTTGTGATGTCTGTTTTGATTTCATGGGAAATACAAAATCCAAGTGAATAAATTAAACATGCATACATCAAATGTAATCTCTTTGTTAAACATTTACCTCCTTCCATCTCCCATAAATGAAAGTTTGCTAGTGCAAAATAAATATATAAACAAACTATAAAATCACCTTCCACTTCCATAAAACTAACAGATGTGTTTGCTGTTCTCATTATTTTTAGTCATTATAAAATGTGATATTATCTCACAAAACTACATTGAATCCTGTGTATTTAAATACAAAAAATTAAAGCGAAGGGGTCGTCACCTGCACATGCACAGGAATCGAGTCCCGAGCAATGATTACAATGCATGCTAAAAACACAAAGGCCCATAGGTAGACGTATGTTTGTAAACAACGACATGCTATAGCCATCTGTCACATATGCGATGACTCCCATGCTTTAAACATACAAATTGTCCATTTTCACTATGAAAAATGGGCTCCTCAATGAGTAAATAAAGCCTGAAGGAAACACAGCCAATAGTGGGAATTTACACAATTTATATTATTCAATGTGGCTGGCAATAACTTCTTTTCAATACAGTGAAACAAAGAATAACATAATAAACAGAAAAGATTATTTCAAAAGACATGTAGGAAAACGCAGAGGTCAACTCAAGAGTATATACTCACTGTAGGAAATAGATTAACCAGGTCTCAACACACGTTAGTTTAGCTCTGAGTCAAAAGGCTGGTCTCAACCCTGTGTTCCATTAGACACATGTGACAAGACAAGATCTTTGGATTAAAACAATGCCCTTTAACTGAGTCAATGGTAGGTGTATAAGGCATGGAATAGTAAGAAAACAGAGTTTAATATAAACCACTGTGACATATACGGAATGAAGGTTTAGCCCACTGATGAGGAATATTTACAAGGTGATCTAACCCTCCATTTCCACTTATATGAACAAGGCTTTAGTATCAATGCGTCGCCTGCTCGAAGCCTCCACAAATGATATATACAGTGATGATGACAGGTCATGTGGTAACATTGAGTGCATGTCCTGATTTCCTACATCCAGTGGATTCATATTTGCATCATTCCTGGTTCACACAAATCTCTATCATATTTGTTATAAGCAAACTTGTTTACTGACTCATAAAAATATTACTTATCTTGACCTAAAACACATCTGTAATTTTCATAATTGTATGCACTACTGATAGGGTAAATACGATAACTGAAGGTAACTCCATAATAAAAACATTACTCGGGTCACAGCCTGACGTCAGCAGGCAATTCGTTAATCAAGCCTTGTAATTATTATTGATCATAAAAACTGATCACTTTGAAGCTGAAATAAATATGTCTGCAAAATATCAAAATTAAACTTTGTCGATATTACATAACATCAGAGGTACATTACTTGGGGTTTGCAACTACGGTGCATTATACCAAGATTCCGTTTTAATTTCGCTCTCGCATAAGCATTCCAACTCAGAAAAATGCGAATGCGCATGCCCTAGGTAACTAGAATACTGGGATGTCCAGGTGGATTAAAATAGCTGCCCACGATATGACAGATTACGATAACTATATTTTCTGTACATTTTCGATGTATTACATTTATTCACTATGAATGTGGTGATACACGTTTTATTGTTTTATTACAAACCGTCAGAAGGTCGTAGCATCAGTCACGCTATCTACGAGATGAGACTTGAATGGGATCTTGGCATGATGACACCATACAGTACTATGCGCGTTGCAAACCCCATATATTTGATAATTCATTCATTCTGCAGATACATAATTGTTTTGAGATACTGTAACCAGAGAAAAAGAGTAAATGATGTGATACAATGGCGAGTCTTATATAACGTTTAATATGTGCTGCAGACAGAATAAAATGAATACTGGGGTAAAGATTAAATTGTGAATAAAATATTTATAACATATTTACAATTGTTGCATATAATTGATACCATATTCCTTTCAACAGTTCCACGTTTGTGTGTTTGTTTGTACCAAATTGTCTCCACTAACAGCACAATTGCTTATGCGGAGCTTGAACTTTGTTATATGAAGGACATGCAATTTCAAACCAATATCTGTAAAAATGCCTTAAAACTATTGGTATTTGACATTTTTCAGAAAATATTTGACTATTTTGATCAAGGCATTAGAGTTAGACATCGAGACAATTGCCTCCAAGTTCTGTATTGTTTCCAATCGTTCCCAATGTTCCATGAAAGTTACTTTTACTGCTTCCACATTGATGACTTCACGTTTGTGTCACTCACAATTATTCGTGATATTCCAGTATAATTCTTTTATTTTCGTGTCATTTCTAACTGTTCTTGATATTCCATATACACACGCTGAAATCGGATATTAGAACCGACTATAGGTAGGATATCCTGCAGAATATCTCGCTTTGACATTCCCTGAAATGTAACAAATGATTTCAATATTATGAAATTATGTAGTCTTATGTCAAATATGAATTATGCACATAGAATCATTATACACAATGTATGTGTTCATATTTTTTACCAAGGACATTTAGATTATTGCACAACAAATCAGGAAATAATGTCAGTGATGATCTTTGAATTCATTTCAGAACATAAATTTGCTAAGCAATCTAAACAAATATGTGATCATATTTTAAAATATTACTGCACAGTAAAGTAAATTAATCACTTCTGTTTCGCCCACAGAGTTCATCTTCAGAGACTTTCACCAGCAAAGTTTGACGTCAGACAATAGAATCAATAAGATTGGCTTTTTCACACATATTTACTATTTGTAACTTTTCTCTTTTTTATGTACAATAAAAAAGCAAAAGCACTTACCAGAACATTGGAATCCCATTTACTGTCTTCAACATCCCCTCTATAAAACGGGCCAAGAAGATCATCACATATTTCACGTAATCTGTTTTCAACACCTGAAAATGACAGACAAATGAATAAAATTGAAAATCTACACAGGTATGAATCTTCACTGCCAAGAAAAATCAATACAAATTGACCAGACAACCATTGTACTATAACAACATGTAGATGATACCAACACTGAATGTACAAAGGCAAAAATTATCAAGTTAGCTTTCATTACTGCCAGCCACGTCTGTGCTTTCATCTCAGTCTTGTTCTACAAACTGGCAAATAAATAAGATTTAGCTGTAACAAGATTCAATCAAACCAGAATGCCAAGTGCAAGTCTGATTTGCGCGTACGCGCAAGTGGCATATAGATAAAAATGCGCCTCATTGTGTTCCATGGAATTTAAAAAAAGTTTCACAAAATACGTCACTGTAACACACAAAATATTCATGTTATTTTGTGGTGCTATGGGACAATAGTTCCATGATTTTACATAATAAACCAATGAAAATTATCATGGCATTTATGACAAACTTTCTCAAAATTTATGAGTAGGCTTTTATCTTAAGTAGTTTAACAAGTCTTCTAATCAATACAGTTTATTGACACTCACCTTCTTGTGCTAAATACCTGGCATATGTTAGCAACCAAAATCTGTATTCTTTACTGGACTTGACTGTGAGGGCAGCAGCAAGTTGATTCTCAAGATGACTCAACGTAGCAGCTTGTTGTAAATGTGGATTCATTTGGTGCATTCGTGATGCTTGTTTAGATCTGTCAATATTAATATACATTAACTATCATCTTTCAAGGATAAATAGGAGACAAAAATCTGGTAAAATGATGTATGCAACTAACAGTGGCAATATGAGGGGAAGTTAAATGTTAACCAATCAACATTAACACCACTCTCTCAGAATGTGAACAAGTTTCTAATAGGATTTATCATGAACATGCGTCTACATTGTTTCAATAAGAACATGATGCATGCGGCCATTATGAGGCATGTTCATTTCAAACAACTTCTGATTGCGATATTTTAAAATTTGCAGTTCAAAAATTTATAGAAGGTAGTTGATTTTGTGTAACTGTGACTTGCCTTGAAAGACACATGCACTACCTAACA